TTTTTCCTGCTATTTTAATTTTTTTATTTAGAGATTTTTTTGTGGTTTTTTTGGTACTGGGGATCGAACTTGGGACCTTGCACTTGTGAGGCAGGCGCCAGAACCACTGAGCTAAATCCCCAGCCCTACTTTTTTATTTAGGGCATCTCACTAAATTGCCCAAGCTGGTCTCCAATTTGGAATCCTCCTGCCTTAGCCTCCCAGAGTACCTGGGATCACAGGTGACAATCACCACGCCCGGCTGCAATCTTAGCTCTTTTAGGTGTCTTTTTTTTTTTTTTCTGTACTGGGGATTGAACTCACGACCTTACGCTTGCGAGGCAGGAACGGTGCCACTGAGCTAAATCCCCGGCCCTAAAATGCCATATTTGAAAACGTAAGAAGAAACAGGTGAAATTTTAATAATATATCATGATTTATCCCTCTGTGCCCCGAATAGCGTTACTTCAGTGTGTCATTAATGTTTCTGAAGCATTCGTGAGGCTTGATACATTCTTTTTCTGAGATGAAAGGTGCGTATTTCACGCTTACGTCTTGGAAGGGGCCGTGTTTACCCGCTCAACAGCCACGCGGGGCCAGCGGCTGCCCGAGACCATCTCTGTGTGGGCTCCAGCGTCCCCTTGTGGCTGACGTGTGAATTCCACCCTTCTGGACAACTAGGTCTTATATTTAAACTAGGTTTTAAATTTAGACTTGTGAGGCTCCTGGCCTGGAACCCTTCATAGCTCCTGCCGCCCTCAGGTCGTCAGCGCACTTGCGACCCTCTCAATCTGTATCCCGCTCAGCTCCCCCCTGGGGCAATTACCACGCCTTCCTCAAAGCCACGCTGGATTCATTCATTCACTGACTCAACGACTAGTCCCTGAGTGACCGGTGTGTCTGCCGAGGGCTTCTGGGTTAGACAGTTTGCGCTTAGCCAACGTCCTCCGTAGGCCTCAGTCTTCTCAGCTGACCCTGAGAGTTACACTGTCCCCTTAGGATTACGGGGGACTCGGTGTGATAAAGCGCTGGGCACACAGTAGGCGCTTAATAAATGCTGACTTAACTAATGACATCCTCTAGGTTTGGGACGGGGCTAGAGCTGCAAGAGGAGGCTGAGAAGCAAGAGAATCTGTGACAGTACCAGGGCTCCAGGTAAGCGGGTTCGGACCACAGGGCTGGGTCCTGGGGTCCCTCCTGGAAGGACAAAACCCTGCCCAGCCCTATGGCTCAATCTCTGCAGAGCCTCCCAAGTCACCCCCAGCCTAAAAGTCTTCAGCGAGACAGGTGTGGCGTGTGTGTGTCTGTAATTCCAGCACTCGGAGACTGAGGCAGGAGGATCACAGGTTCGAGAACAGTCTGGGGAATTCAGCGACTTAGCAAGACCCTGTCTCAAAGTAAAAGAAGAGAGATGGGGGAGGCTGAGGGTGTAGCTCAGTGCAAAGGCCCTGGGTTCAGTCCTAGTCCCCCCCCCACACAACCCCCAAACCGATGGTTCCCCAGGATGTGAGCTTTGGGGAGCCCTTGGCCACCTCTAGGAACTGGCCACCCCTGGGCCAGGCCATCTATCGGGGTCAGCAGGGGCCCAGACGTGAAAACGTCAAATAACGGAACATGGGAAAAGGCCGCTTAGTACCGAGACAGACACCGCACAGGGAGACCCCGCCATGCTCTGGGCTGTTGGTGGCTGGAGGCTGGGTCCATCCTGAGAGCCTGGTGCACACCTGAGGTCACACCCGGCTCCTCCGGAGCCGTGGGTGAGCAGCCAGGGGCGCCTCAGCCCCTGACCTCGGCACCATGCCAGGCCCCAGCCTTTATTCCTGTACCTGTTTGTGTTGGGGCAGCAGTGCCTCAGGCTGCCAAGGTGCCCTGTGGGTAGGGTGAGTGGTGGTCCCCGCTCCTCTTTGGGGACCTCCTCTGACACCCGCTCTGGCCATTTCCTTTTCAGTCATCCAGTGGCTGTGAGCACTCCTCCTTCAGGCCCCAGCTGCAGGGTTCCAAAGGGCAGCAAGATTGTCCTTTGCTTTCTGGTGGTTACAGATGCAAAAGTCTCCTGCTCCCCTGCCTCCTCCTCCTGCTCCTCCTCATCCCCCCCCCCCTCCTGGGCCTCCAAGCCCACCTTCGGCCTTCTGGAAGTGTGTGCAGCTGTCTGAGTGCTGGACCCAGCTCTGTGGCTCAGGAGCAGTCACCCCGACCATTCTCTGTTCTCTTTCTCTCTCTCTAGCCGGCAGAGCTTTCTTCTGGCTTGGGGCTTCCGGCCTCTGCCACCTGGGTCAGTCAGCTTTGAGTTACCACAACAAAAGGCAGGGTAACTTCGTTTTGTTTTGGTCTTTTGTTTTTTGTTTCTTGAGTCAAGGTCTCGCTATGTAGCCCAGGCTGGCCTTGAAGGTGTGATGATCATCCTGACTCAGCCTCCTGAATGCTGGGATTACAGGTCTGTGCCACCACACTCAGCTAAAATTTTTTGGGGGGGTGGTACTAGGAATCAAACTCAGGGCCTCATGCTTGCCAGGCAGGCACTGCAGTGCTAAGGTACATCCCCAGCTAAATTTATTTTTAAACAGATTTTTAAAAATTATTTTTTGCAGTGTTAAGGCTCAAATCCCAGGGCCTCACACACACTAGGGAATCTCTGAACTCCTGAGCAACGGTGCCTGTGTTCATTCTTCTTCAGGAAGAATCCATGTGTGTGGACCTGACAGATTCAGGACCCTCTTATGCGCCCCTGCCCAGGGGCTGAGGGGTGTGTTGGGCAGGGGGTGGCCTCAGAGCATAGGGGCAGGGTCTCGGTTCATTTTCAGTTGCTATAACTGAATGCCACAGACCAGGTCTCTTTATAAAGAGTAGAAGTTTAATTAGCTCAGGACTCTGAGGGCTGGGAAGTCCAAGATTGTGGCTACTCAGGATGCTGAAGCAGGAGGATCCTTTGAGTCCAAGAGTTAAAATCTAGCTTGGGTAAACTTAACCTCAAAACCAAAAGCCATTAGTATCATCATGGGGCCCCACTGTTGTGGCTTTACCTAACCCTAGTCACCCCCAAAGGCCCCACTACCAAAGATTATTTTTGTTTTGCTTTTTGTTTGAAATAGGGTCTCACTATGTATCCCGGCTGGCCTGGAACTTGCAGTGAGACGGACACTGTCTTATCCTTCTGTCTCATCCTCCGAAGGGCTGGGATGAACGCCCAACTTAGACGTAAATAACATATGGATTCAAGGATTACGTTTCTGACACACAAACTTTAGGGGGACACATTTAAACCGTAGCAGGAAGGTCTCTTGCTCTGGGGCTTGTGTTCAGGTTCACCCATGTTCTTTCCTGGCTGTGGGGTCCAGGAGAGTGACCCTAAGCCTCAGTTTCCCCACCTGAGCTTTCCCTGAAGGGGATGGACTGGGACCCCCGGGAGCTGTCTTCTCTCTCCTCCCTGCCCTTCCCATCCAGCCTGATCCCTTGTTCCCAGCCTCCACCCAGGCCAGACTCAGCCATGTGTCCCAGCTCCCTGCCACCAGCTGCTTCCCAAGCACAGACAAAGAAGCCTCTGTCCCAGGCCATCCTGCCTGGGCAGGCCGCGAGCACCCCACGTGCCACTGGCCACACCCCGCCCCCCTGCCTGCTTTTGGGTCCCCTGGCCTCGGGGCACCCTGTCCTGCTGTCCACAGCTGAGGCTCTGGAGGCCCAGGAGCCACAGTGGGGCAGGTGGGAGCCAGAGCGAGTCAGTCCCCTGAACAGGAAGAAGGCAGAGGGGGCTGGCTGGGGCGACATTAACCGTCAGGGCAACAGTGTGACAAGGCAGCTGACAGTGTAATCACGGGGTCTGAAATGATGGAGAGACAGTTTGGCAATAGCAGGTGACATTGTAATTGCTTTAAAAACCAGGGATTGGTGTCATGTTAGGAGGGAGGCAGACTCAGGCTGACAGAAGGCATTAAGAACAATGAGTATGGAAGGGGAAGTGCCAGGTGGGCCAGCGAGGTGTCTCTCAGCTGTCACCCCAGCACTCAGGAGGCTGAGGCAGGAGGATCTTCATGAGTTTGAGGCCAGCATGGGCTACATAATGAGAGCCTGTCTCCAAAAACAAAACAATGGGCCAGGGATTTAACTCAGTGGTTCTGCCACCTGCCTTGCAAGTGCAAGGACCCAAGTTCGATCCCCAGTACCAAAAAACAAAACAAAACCAAAAAGTGTTAGGTGACGGCAGGCACACGGGGGTAGTGAGATGACCAGGATAAGACAGGCTGAGACAGTGATGGATGACAGGGCAGCTTTGTGGAGGGGACCAGTGACTGAGGAGAAGAGCCACTCAGGCCAGGCACTGTGGCCCACACCTGTAATCCCAGCAATCGTAGATGCTGAGGCAGGAGGATGTCAATTTCGAGTCCAGCCTGGGCAACTTACTACTGTGGACAGGAGGGAGACTTGGAGCCTCACCTGGCCCTCCCACCTCCCCCACAGATGCTGTCCCCTCCCCCTGTATTCCCTTGGTCATGGGGTTCTCCACTTTTCATGAGCCACGGGGAACCCTGATCCCTTGGCCTGGAAGATTTCAATCTTTTTTTTTTTCTTTTGTTTTTTTGAGACAGGCTTTCCTATGTAGTCTAGGCTGGCCTTAATTCACTGTGTAGCCCAGGCTGGCCTTAATTCACTGTGTAGCCCAGGCTGACCTCAAATTCATGGCAATCCTCCTGCCTCAGCCTCCCCAGTGCTGGGATGACAGGGATGCACCACCACGCCTGGGGGATTGAATTCCAGGTGTTCTCCCACTGAGCTACATCCCCAGCCCTTTAAAAAAAAATTTAAAGAAAAAAAAAATTGAGACAGGGTCTCACTAAATTGCTCAGGCTGGCCATTCTCCTGCCTCAGCCTCCAGAGTAGCTGAAATTATAGGCGTGTGTCACTGTGCCTTGCCAAAGTGGGGATTTTTAGGAACATTTCCCAGCTGGGCATGGTGGTGGTATGCACAGGTATCCACCTGTGATCCCAGCACTCTGGGAGGCTGAGGCAGGAGGGTAGCAAGTTCTAGCCCAGCCTAGGCAACTTAGTAACTTAGCAAGTCTCAAAATTAAAAAAAAAAAAAATTAAAAGGGCTAGGGATGTAGCTCAGTGCAAAGGTCCTGAGTTCAAGGCCCAGTACGGCAAAACAAACAAACTCCCTCACAGGATTTTCTGGTGATTAAATGAGATCATGGATATGGAACTCTTAACATCAAATTTCACAAGCTGTAAACACTCAACAGATACTGACTCCAACCATTGTACGTTCTAGAAGTCTTCCGATGAAGGCACGTTCAGCACAATCGCCGTTGGGAATTTATTAGGGCAAACTAACAATGTTGGGATCGGGAAGGGCTTTTTGAGCTGGGTTCTGCCAGCTACTAAGGAGTTTGCTGGATGGAGTAATAGCTTCAGGCCCAACCAACAGCTGTGCTAGGCCCCAGGGTGGTGCTGACTATTCACACAGGTGGGAAACTGGTGGGGAAATGAAGCTTTTGCTGAGAGAGTAAATTCCCGAGGAGGAGCTGCTAGCAGAAGTCTGGCCCCGGGGATAGGTGGAGACGGGGGGGGGGGGGGGGTCGTGTAGAGAGTTCATTGTCCATCTTCCCAATCCTTGACTCCGTGTTGAGACTCGGATGGAAGCTTTGCGGACCCTCTTTCTCCCCACGCACGGCATCTTTCTGGGCCCAATGCTTCACCCGCATTTTGTAGGGGCGTTGGGATCCAGAGCGCAGCTGTCAGGTGAGTTCTCGGCTTCACCTCGGAGTTCTCCGCTCCGCGCCAGGGGAGGCGGCTTAGGAGCAAGTCGGGGGTGGAGAGGCGCCCAGGTAGGCCCGGCCCCTCCCCGCCCTGCCTGTCTTCCCACCTCCGACCCGACTGCTCTCCCAAACCGTGCCCCGCGCAGCCCCCCTGCAGCCCCCGAGCCCCGCGCCCGCCCCGCCCCGGAGCCCCCCTACTGCGAGGTGCGAAGGCTCCCTCCTCCCCCGAACTCCTCCAGCGCCCACTCCCGGCTGGGCGTGCAGGCAGTGGGGTCGGCCTCGCGCCCCGCCTTCCCGCCCAGGGCCCCCAGGGCCGTCCCGCAGTGTGGACCCCGCTCGACCGCGGGCGCTGTGTGGCCCACGTGCGCGGGCCCCGCAGGTAGGGAGAGCGCGGCCCGGGAGCGCGCGGGACCCGGAGGAGGGCGCGGGGGAGCGGAGGGAGGGGATTCCTTTGTTTGCAGCCGCAGCCCCGGGCCTGGCCCCCTCCCCTCCCCTCCCCAAGCCCCTTTGCGCTCGGACCCTGAGCGGCGCGGGCCCGGAGCCCTGACCCCCAAGGTGAAGGCGGAGCCGGCCGCGGTGGTGGCCTGGGCTCCAGCGTCCTGGGCCCTGCAGGGTGGAGGTGCAGCCTGTGGACCCCGCGGACGGCCCTCCCCCTCCTCCCCCCTGCCCCGGGCTCCGCGCTGCTCCGCCCTCCGTGCAGCGCGGCCTGCCCGGCTCATTCATTCCGCGCACCCCGGGGCCGGCCGGGGAGGCGGAGAGCGGAGGGGGTTGGGACCACCCGGTTAGAGACCCCAGGCCCCTACTGTCAGCCCAGGCCGGCCCGAGCGGGAGGGGGGGGCGTGGGGCCTGGAGGAGGCGTCCTGAGCGCGGGGCAGCCCGGGCCACTTGGAGCGAGAAGGGGCGCCCGCTGCCGCCCTGGGGTTGGCAGAAGTTGGGGACCACCTGGTTGACCTTCACCTCACCCCGCGGCCCAAAGAGGGGGTGCCCACGCTCGCACAGCCCGGTTCCCACCCGGGCCAACATCCTCTCCCCCCGAAAGTGGAGCGTGGACCAGGAGGGGCCCAGCCGGCCACCTCGGCGGCTTCTCCCCGCCACCGAGTTTCCCGCCTCCTTTCCCAGTCCTGCGGCTGCCCACCTCCCCCAGCGGGGGCGATCCCGGCCCCATCCCCCTTCCCGCTCGGCCCGGCCTGGAGGCGGAGGGCGGCCTCTCCCATCCCCTCCCTCCCTCCGCTCTGCTCCTGGCTCCTGTTCAGCCCCTGCTGATGGTGCGATGGCCTCGGCTTGCCCATCCGTGAGGTGGACACCGGAGCCCTCCTCTGTGAGAAGTGGACAGCGGATTGCCCAGCTGCCCCCCTCCCCCGCCCGCTGCTTCTGGGGTCCCCACGGCCCTTTCTGTGCCTCCCACTTGAAGCTTCTCCAGGGCCCTCGCCGCCCTTGCCGTCTGAGTGGAAGCTCAGGGCCCAGCTGAGCTCACTCTTGCGACACCTGGCCCTCCCGCCCCACACTCTACTGCCTCTGCTCTTGGAGTGCACCCGCTGCCGCAGGACCCTTCTGGCCGGGAGGCTCCAGGCCTCCTCCAGGAAGCCCGCCCTGGCTGCTCTCCCCTCCCACGCCAGGCAGGAAGTGTCCCCTGTCTCACCGTCCCAGCCCCTCCCCTCGGCTCCCTGTAGTGCGCGGATCCTTGGCCCGGGGGCACCGAGGCTGCCTCTGCTTCTCCGCAGTCTCCAGGGAGACGTACTGACCCGGGAGAGTCCGAGTCCGAGTTGCGAAGGAGAGGGCCTGGAGCACGCAGCATGGCCCAGGGGCCCCCGGCTCAGCTCCTGCTGGCTTGGGTGGCCCTGTCCTGCGTGGCGGGGGGCCAGGGCCACTGGGACGGGGCTGTGGGGCCTGCGGGTGCTGGACACGTTCGGAGGCGAGGCGGCCCCGGGATCCTCGGCGTCCTGCACGGGTGTGTGGTGCCGGGGGAGGGGACATCCCGGGGTTGGGGACAGTCCAGGGGACATCCGGCCAGGCCCGGGCTCACCGGTCACATCTTGCTTCCTTCGAAGGCCGAACGTGTGTGGCTCTCGCTTCCATGCCTACTGCTGCCCCGGCTGGAGGACGCTGCCCGGCGGGAACCAGTGTGTTGTGCGTGAGTGCGGCGCCTTCAGGAAGTGGGGTGTAGACAGCGGGTGCTGGGCAGGGGTCCCCGCTGCCACCTGCCAGCCAGCCCGGGCCTCCCTGTTCACAAGTGGATTTCACCCTGCCTCAGCCTCGGGCGGGCTCCCAGACCGTGCCACGCGCCAGCTTCCTTTGCCCCGAAGCTCCCGGGTCCCGGGCCCTCCGCGGCTTTCTATCTCTATCTCCCCGCTGCCGGCTTCTGGTTTCATTTTGGCTCTGGAATCGGAGTCCAATCCTAGGAGAGGCCCTGACCCTGCATCTAGGACCCCGACCCTCCCGTCTCTGGCCTGCACTCAGTACTCTGGTCCCAAAGCTTCTCTCCACCGCGCGAGCAGAACCCAGAGCCGGGGACTTGGGGAGCGCCCTGACCCGACTGCGCGCGAGTGTGCATGTGTGTGTGTGTGTGTGTGTGTGCGCGCGCGTGGGTGTGCGCGCGTGGGTGTGTGCTCAGAGCTGGGGGTGCACATGTCCACCTCCATGCCCAGCCCGCAGAGCACCCCGAGCGGGGCTGTCGCAGGCACGGTGCTGCTTCCTGTGCGCCCCTCCCGGTCCGTGGTGTGGGGGGGGCAGCTGCAGAGGGGAGACCTGTCTGTGCCGGAGGGGCCGAACGGACACCGTGTGTGGGCGGCGCGAGTACCCGGGCCGCCCCATGTCGCCGAGGGTGGCCTCTGCAGCCACCCGCCCACCGCCCCGCATCCCCCCTGGTGACCCGAGGCCGACGGGCCCCCGCGCACTGCCAGTCCCCGCGCGACCCCTAGGTGGAATGACTCGCCCCAGCCACCGTTCCTGCCGCTGCTGCGGGACCCCTGGTCACCCGCCGCTGTTCCTCCACAGCCGTCTGTGACCGCGGCTGCCACAACCGGGGCCGCTGCGTCGGGCCCAACCGCTGCGCCTGTGTGTACGGCTTCCTGGGGCCTCAGTGCGAGAGAGGTTCGGACGGGGACGGGGACGGGGCCGGGGCAGGGAGGGATGAGATGTGGCCTGGCCCAGAGGGTCCAGCCGCCCTCTTTCCTGCCGCCGGGGCAGCCTGAGGACATTTCTTTCGTCTGCTCATCCGCTCTCCAAAACATCTGTCACTCCTGGCCCTGAGCGAGGCCCCATGTTGGAGCCTGCTGGGAAAAAGCCTGCAGTCCGAGGGCCGGGAAGAAGCGATCCGGAAACAAAACCGGGACCCGGGTGTTCGATGCTGCAGTAGGGTGGGGGCAGGAAGGCTGCGGAAGCCGCGAGCTCCAGGGAAAGCAGTCCAGGGAAAGCAGTCGGGGCGGGCTTCCTGGAGGAAGGGCCCTGGGCTGAGTCTCACAGCCCGAGATGGACAAGCTCCCTTTTATTGAACCCCGGCTCTTCAGGCCGTCATCATCCCGGGATTGAGTGGGCGGAGTCACTTGGAGTGAGCCGGTGACATAACGGTGTCAGGGCACGTTGGGGTGGGGTGGGGAAGGGAGCCCGTGGAAGCCCGAGGAGAGCAAAGCCGAGAGGGTGGTGGGGGCAGGGCGGCTCTGGGGGCGCTGCCCCCCCCCAATCGAGGGCCTGGGGTGGGCGTGGCTGTGCCCGCTCTGGTGCAGCGAGAGCCAGTTATTGGAAACATTTGCTGGATGGAAACAGGGAGTCACGTCCAGGGAACCAATGGGGCCACCTTGGCCTGGGCCCTGGACTTCCCGGATGTGGTATTGCGAGCCTAGAGCTCTTGGGCAGATGGTAGGCCCCTGCAAAACCTGGGAGATTCGGCAGAGCCAGGTGTGTGCTCACAAATGAGACCCAGGGACCCAGGTCCCTGCTGGGGGGGGTCAGTCCAGACATAGGCTGAGCTTTGTGGGCATAGAGACCCTAGCTGCGCTTTGGGGGGTTAGTTAGGGAATGCTTTAAAGGAAAGGGGTTTTGAGGAGTGAATAAGAGTTCATTTGATAGGGAAGGGAAGAAAGGCATTCTATCTAGGAAGGGGAACAGCATGAATAAAGCTCATGGTCAGGGAAAAAGCCTGGAGTGTTGATGCAGCGGCGCCGAGTCTGAAGCTAGCTGTCTCTGTCCCACAGACTACCGCACGGGGCCCTGCTTTAGCCAAGTGGGCCCCAAGGGGTGCCAGCACCACCTGACCGGCCTCGTGTGCACCAAAGCGCTCTGCTGTGCCACCATGGGACGTGCCTGGGGCCTCCCATGCGAGCTGTGCCCTCCACAGCTACACCCCTGCCGCCGTGGCTTCATCCCTAGTGTCCACATGGGGTCTTGCCAAGGTCAGTCATGGGCCTCAGAAGCCTTGGTTCCTCCTTCTAACGCCCCTCTCACTCCCTGAACTTTGTCTCTGCAGACGTGGATGAGTGCCAGACCATCCGAGGCCTGTGTTGGGGGGGCAGCTGCATCAACACTGTGGGCTCCTTTGAGTGCCGCTGCCCGGCTGGGCACCGGCTCAGTGACAGCGGTACCAAGTGTGAAGGTGGAGGAGGGCCTGGGACCTCCTCTTGCCCTGGGCACCCAGGCTTCCCTGCAGGGAGGCAGAGGGGTTGGGCTGGAGAGGGGCCTGTCTCTGACCACCTCTGCCTCTGCAGATCTGGACGAGTGTCTCAGCGTCCCCAGCCTCTGCTTTGGGGGCACCTGCACCAACACAGTCGGGAGCTACATGTGTACCTGTCCCCGAGGCTTTGCCAGCAGCCTGGATGGCACCCACTGCCTGGGTGAGGTGGGCGCGGACAGGGTGGGGAACAGCCAGGCCCCGTGTGCAGCCATCCCTGTCTGTCCTGTCGTACTGGTCCTTGGCCACTCTAGCCCTCCACTCTCTACGCCTTTCTGCCTTTCTGGCAATCTGGCTTTCCACTGTAAGCCTCTGTGTAGACACGGACCCCAGGCTGAGGCCCCTCCCACTCCATATCTCTGTGTCCTTGAGCACTCCCCTCTCCTGTCTTGGCCTCTGCGCTCCACAGCCCACTCCCGTGCCACAGCCCTCTCCCCCTCAGACAACCTTTCTGGATCATTGTGCCACCTCCACCCCTGATTCTTCAGCCTAGATCTCTGCCCTACTTTGACTATTTATGTCTGTGTCCTACTTCTAACCCTGTAGCCTCCATCTCTTTGCCCCCCTCTGATTGTGACTTTCAACTCAAAGCCCGCTCTGACCCTCTAGCTTTCATCTCTATGTCCCCCTCTGACCCTCTAGCTTTCATCTCTATGCGCGCCCTCTGACCCTCTAGCTTTCATCTTTATTTCCCCCTCTGACCCTCTAGCTTTCAACCCTATGCCCGCCCTCTGACCTTCTAGCTTTCATCTCTATGCCCCCCTCTGAACCTCTAGCGTTCATCCCTATGGCTCTTTCTGACCTTCTAGCTTTCATCTCTATATCCGCGTCTGACCCTCTACCTTTCATCTCTATGCCCCCCCCTCTAGCTTTCATCTCTATGTCCCTTCCTGACCCTCTACCTTTCATCTTTATGTCCCCCTCTGACCTTCTAGCCTTCATCTCCGTGTCCCCCTCTGACCCTCTACCT